CACCACCACTCTCCTCAGATCATATTTCAATCCCTCCGCAAACTTCCGACACTTCCAAGCCTCGGCGATGCCTTGCGAATAAAAACGAGCTTGTGCTCGAATTTCATCGCATATTTCGAAACGGTCATCCCTCCTTGATGTAAGCGCATGAACTCAGCTTCCTTGACATGTCTCACACTCTCAGGAAAATACTTCTCCAAGAACATTCGCCTGAAGCACTCCCAGTCCACAACCACCCCTCTAGCAGTCAACATATGATGGGTACCCCTCCACCAGTGCTCGGCTTCTCCAACAAGCATGTACTCCGCGTATTCTAGCCTCCTCTCTTGAGAACATCCCAGCACAGTGAAGATCTTCTCAAGCTCGCAAATCCAGTGGTCAGCCACCTCTGGATCTGCCTCTCCCTTGAACTGAGGAGGATGGCACTTCCGGAACTCAACCAGGTCCCGGCTCTCCTGCGACCCAGTGGGCCTTGCTGCACCAGCTGCAGCTCTCTCTGCCTCCATCCTAGCAAAATAGGCATTTTGCTGTTGCATAGCCATGGCCATCATCTCCATGGCCCTGGCTATCTGTTCGTTGGCTCTAGACATTGTCTACAAAAGCAATTACACCTTTAGCAACAATATCTAAACCAAACAACAATTCAACAATACAACAAAACACCACAACAATCAACACAGCCAATCAACACATCAAGATATCACAACTCAGAGTTAGCACAACAAAAGCCTAAAGGAACCACCCCCAAAGAGTGTCCACTAGACTCGAACTGCTCTGATACCACTAAAGTGTAACGACCCGACCGGTCACTACACACCAACCTCAAAACACCGGAAACACCAGACAGAAAAAGCAAGTATATAATTATAGGGTCTAGAATATAAAAATATACAAAGCCTCGATCCGACTAGAGTTAGAGTGTATCAAAACATCCTACCAGCAAAAAATACATAACCAACTGCTACACCTAGTAGCTATTACAACAAAATATCAATAAAACATGGCCAACTCCGCATACCAGCTGCCGACTCACCACGAACCAAACACCTAATCCTGTTCTGCTCCCGTAAATCATACGATCATAGCAGTCCAACCACAAGGAAACAACAAGGGTAAGCTAGTATAAAAAGAACAACATACAACAAAAATTCTAATAATCAGCACAACTTCAACCGTCAACACAACAACATTCTACTATCCATTCAATTTATGCAACCAACCAGCAATTAGATATAAATGCGTCGTCACGCATATCACCTCGGAGATTCTCCTACAACAACTCTGCCGTGAAGGCCTACAACAACTCAGCCGTTAAGGCCTACAACAACTCAGCCCTTGAGGCCTACAACAACTCAGCCATTACGGCCTACAACAACTCATATCAATATTCAACACACCTCAACTTTTTCAACTCAACATACAACACAACTCAACTTATCAACATACAACACAACTTATCAACATAAACTTAACTTATCAACATACAACTCAACTTATCAACATAGAACAACATAATTCAATACATAAAAGGAAATGTTTCATCCCCTCGCCCGGTGCCCTCGAAGTTGCGCCCAGCGCAGTACAACCAGAGAGCCCCAGGGGGCTAGCGCGCCCAGCGCAAGCAGGCTCGCACTCAGCGGGACTCAGCCAGAGAGCACAAGGCTCTCCCGCGCTTGGCGCAATACTAACTGCGCCCAGCGCAGGCCAGACAGAGACTCCAAGGAGTCTCACGCGCCCAGCGCACCTAACCCAGCACTCAGCGCGGGAAAGGCATAGACCACCCCTTGGTCTCGCGCCCAACGCAATTCGGAATTGCGCCCAGCGCCCACGAGGCAGAGACTCCCAAAGAGTCTCACGCCCAGCGCGATAAGGGTCGCGCTTAGCGCAGCCTCTAGAGCCTAACACCAAGTTACAATGGTATCGCGCTTAGCGCAGTCCAAGCCGCGACCAGCGAGGGCCAACCAGAGACCTACGTTCTCAAGCGCGCCCAGCGCACTCATCAAGGCGCTCAGCGAGCTTGGCTAAATGAGGTCCCATGGCGGCCACGCGCCCAGCGCGATGAACAGCGCTCAGCGCGAAGCTCATCTGAAACCTTACCAAGTTCGAAAATTTTCCCAAAGTACCTGCAAAAATCACTATCCAGTACATGCAATCCGGCCAAAGTAACACATTTTCATCCAAGAGTTCAAAAATAACATCTTTTTCAACATGCAACCACAACTTCATCAAAAACCCCAAAATTTATCAAAAACCCCGAAAACTCAAAAACCCCATTTTTCAACAGTCCCAACTTGAATTTAAAAAAAAAATCTCTAACCAACAAATGAGTTCTGGACTCATACACAGCCAAATGCAACGGAAATAACCAGCTTCCCTTACCTCGGGTGAAGATTTCGAGCTCCGGGAAGTGGAAAACGAAGAACGGAGGAGAAGAGGGATTGGAGAAGAAGATGGGAGGAGCTCCGCACGGGTTTAACAAGAATTTCAAACCTTCAATCAGTACCTTCAGCCACCAAAACCACAGTTCAAGAGTGAGAAGAGGAGAATTGAGAGCAAGAGCATAAGAGAGTGAGAGTTGAGGGTTCGGGGATAGGAAAAAGAGAAAAGGAAGCAGGGTCTCACAATATTTCATTAAATAATACAAATGTCAAATTATTTTAACTAATGACTATTGTCAAATAAGATCTTAAATTTAAGTACCATAAATGAAAAAAGATAATTGAAAACTAAAAAAAAACTATAAATCAAAATTTTCAAAAGAAATTAATTGTTAACAAAAAGTTGATGAATATTTTTTATTAATAATATAATTATAAAAATAAATAAAATTTCACTTTTAAAAAAACTTACTTTAAACTCATAAAAATGTTAATTTCATTTTTTATTCCAAATTTATTCAATTAGATCGTAAGTTTTTTTAACATAACTGGATGCATTTAAATATAAATTAATGGCTCCAATTATGACTTTTAATTACTTTAATCTTTAGTTATCTAGATAGTGTTGGTTTCTATTTTAACTACCAACGTGTTTATTATTCTAATTATATATAGATATATAATTAAAAATAATATAATTAAGATTGAAATATTCATCGAATTCCTATATTTGATGTTATTGTTAATAATATCTGGAATAGAATTATCTCCAATTCCATAAAAAAAAAAAAAACTATCTCAAAAAATATACATGACTATGATATAATCTTATTAATGTGGATTAAACTCTAAAAAAATCTTTAAAAAAAAAACTCTACAAAATTAATATAAAGTGAAAATGTTTCTCATTTATAAATTTTTATCTTTAGTTAATATAAGATTTTGACTATTTTTTTAATATACCTCTCAAACTTGATATGCAAATAAGTGTTAAAAGGTCATTTTTAATAATCAAATATATGTGCGACTTAGTTTTTTTCTTTCTAATACGATAAAAAACATAATAAATTTTGATTCATCACAAATTAAATGTTACGAACAGTGATTGTTGAAATTAAAATTATAAAAGGTTTATCACAAAATTATAATGCATGTCTTATATTATTTTTTAGCTAATATTTATTTTCTAATAATGAATTTAAATGTATAATTTTAAAAAAATTATAATGAATGTAATTTATCAAATTAAGATAATAACTTTAATTATAAATATTTTAATTTAAAAATAATTAATAAATTAAAGCATTTGAATTTGAATTTTATATACAAATAAATAAATATTTTAAATTAAATCTTATAAATAAGATCAGATGTAATATAAAATATAAAAATAACAAATAAAAAAATTTAAGCGTGAGAATATAATAACCTTATAAATAAATAAATAGTAAAAAAAAAAAATTGTTGATGAATGTTGACTCATTAAATAGTGGCACGACGGCCGAGAATTACAACACAACAAGACCGTGTATGTGACGGCTATTTCGAGGAAATAATTTACCAACATTTTGAATATCAAACATTAAAATCGTATCTAATGTAGAGTAATTATTTTTTATATACAACTTTTATAAATATTTTAAAAATAAAATAAAACAAAATATATTTTTAAATTTACCAAAATAGTTTCTAAAAAATGAAAACTAAGGTAATAAATAAAAGGAAGGTTTTAACTAAGAAATTAATAAATACTAAGATATATTTATTTAAAAAAACCCGATTGACCTACTTTATTATGCACTTGAATATTTTTTATAAAAATATTCCATTCTCAATTATTGAATCAAGATTTCAAAGCTATTAATTTTTCATAACAGAAAAATTATTTACATATCTTAGCATTGACCAATGTATTTGCATTAGTTTATTTGACCGAGTTTTCTTGTTTCCTCTCAAACTGCCTTTTTATTTTTTATTTTCTATATTATAATAATACACCCACGTTGCTTACAAGATCACGTCTCTCTCGAGTATCAGCTAAGCTGAATGACCTCGCCGCATGATGACAACAAATCAACAATGAACCCCTCATTCCTTAACATAGATGATTCATTTTATTGGCACTAAATATTTATTTTTTTATCAATTAAAAAATTTAATAAGCCATTTTTAATGAAGTTTCTCAATCATATTTTTTTACACATAATATTTAAACATAAAATTTTATTAAAAAAATAAAGTAGAATACCATTTAAACCAACCCCAAGCGTGTGGTTCAGCGGTAGGGGTTGATCCACGCTTAAGCAAAGTCAGGGGTTCGAAGGCGAGAAGATTAGTCACTGCTGTCGGCCATGGATACTCCATGGACGAACAAAAAAAAAACCATTTAAACCAACAATTTAGTTGAATAATTATTCATTTCTGACTCAAGTGTTTTTTTTTAATAATTAAAAAAAATACGAGAAAAAGTTGACTTAATAACATCATTCACATACTACTCATGACTCAATAGATCCTTCTCCTTGACACCGAATATTTTATCCAACCCAACGTTAAAAAAAAAAAAGGCTAGAGATTGCATCTGATGTAAGTTAATGGTAAAAAATATTGACATTAAATTAGTTTGCAGGATTTCCCGTACGTAGAAAAGGAAGCAACGAATTTTGGTTTGTTTCTTGGGAACTAAGCGTAACAACATCCATTGATGGCTTCCCCTGAAAGCCAACCCAGGTCAAACCCAAATAGTCGTATCTATCAAAACGCCGAACGAACCCATGGTCGGTGGGAGCTCCTATAATCCAAAGTCCACACTACGGTGTCGTTTTCAGTTCGTTTAAGCATCTCCATCCTAATAACAACGCTTCTTCTACTACTACTACTACCGGTATCTTAATCTAATCCCCAACGAAGCGAAACGAAACCGTTTAAGACGCTATGGGGAACTGTTGGACGAAGTCGGAGAAACTAACGGCGGAGATTGTTCCACCGCGAGACGGGGCCAAAGTGTACCCCACCGTCCGCCTGCACGGGTCGCCCAAGAGCATTGTCGCGGCGTACATCCGTTTCGCGCTTCTCCAGAAGGCGGTTTCGACGGACTTCGTTCCCTCGGAACCGGACGGTGCGGTTACGCTCCAGGTGGGGTCCGAGGTGGTGTCGGGCTCACGCGACACGCTGCTGCGCTTCATCGACGCGCGCTTCCCCGGGCCCTCGCTCGGGAAGAGGGAGGACGAAACGACGCCGTTGCTGGCGTCCCTGGCGCGCGTGCAGCACACCGCCATGCTCTGGCACGTGGACCGCATGCTGAGGTGGGCCGAGGATCTCACCACACGTGGAGGAAGGAAGACCGTTGATCCCTCCGTCGGGACTCCCCGGATGGAGATTAGGAAATTCGCCCGCAGCTACTCCCAGCTGCTTGAGCTCATGATGGAACACGCGCGGATGGAAGAAACCCTTCTCTTCCCTATTTTTGATAACGCCGATCGAGGTTTTTTTTTTTTATAACTATGGTTTTGTTTTTGTAAGATCAATTTTTTTATTTGTTATGGTTTAGTAGGCCTTGGCCATGTGGAATTTTACTTGCCTTTGAAGCCATGGTGTATGTTATATAGTTTTTGTGTTTTGCCAGGGCTTGCTAAAGCTGCAAAAGAGGAACATGCTAGGGACCTACCTCTCATGAATGGCATCAGAGAAGTTATAAAGTCTGTTGGGGTTTTGGATTCCGGTAGCCCTGATTATCAAGAGGCTTTGTACAGTCTTTCTACTCGGTTCAAGTCATTGCAGGTAAGTTCAGCTCCTAGGAAATTGGAATAGCATTTCTGTTTGTGAATTGTCATGCTCTAAATTGGAATTTTTTATTTTTTATTTGATTTTAGGCATGTTTCGGAATTATGGAGGTCTAATTGGATAGTCTTACAGGAGAATTAACAATAATATGTGGAACTAAACACGCCATTTGTATTGTGATCCATGTAGTTGATTTGTATTTTGTATTTTCTCTGGTTCTTTTACTGAATTATTTCTGTCACTAGTGTTTTCATTATCAATTTGGGATCTGGATGTGTATGTGTGTCTTTATTGGGGCATGATTTTATTGTTAATTTTTTGTAGGGGCAATGCAAACAACATTTTGCAGAAGAGGAGGTGGAATTGCTTCCACTGATGGAAGCGTTGGAGTTGAGCAAAGAGCAAGAAGTGAGTGCACTGGAGCAGTGCTTTGAAGTGATGCGAGAAACACACGGTCGGTTGTTGAAGTTTCTTCTTGAAGGTCTACCTCCTTGTGATGCTATGAAGTACTTGGACTTGATCAGCATGTGTAGGGACAAAGAGAAAGTGGAATCCATGCTCCAGATGATAGTTAAGTGAGAGATCTTGTTAATGGGTTCAATCATTGTGCAACACATGGATGAACTGTCAGGCTTGCTTTGTCAATAGATGTAAAATTGTTTTTTCTTTTTTTTGAGCCAGTTCTTCTGAAGGAAGGAAGTAACCCCCAACATATCTGTAGGCTTTCATAGTTCTGCTTTTGTGACCTGGGGCATTCTTCTTGAATCTGTCGGCCTGGCCTTTTGATTAAGGAAACAGAAAGCATGGATAGCATTTGGAAAAGCAGGACATTTTCTTTTTCTTTTTCTTTTCCCTTTTCCTTTTCCTCATGATAGTTTGGATAAGGTTGTCATGAACATGTTCCTAAATAATGTAAATCCAAATATAAGCACCCAAATTTATTCAAAACAAAAGTAAGTTAAGTATGCCAGTTTGCCTATTTTGATTGGTAACTCCACAGTTTGTTGAAACTATTTAACCAAGTTATTTTGTTTGTCCATTAGCTGGTAGCTCATGTGGTATCCCTTGCAAAATTCCCACTCTTGTTAAAGCATCAGATTGCAAAGCAAGCTTCCTTACTGCATTAAAACTAAGTCTCTTGGTTTTTTGGGATCCATTGTTCAAAACCTGACAAATACAAATAATTGAGGTAAAACTTGAATGGTATACTCGTGGAGCGTATATGAGGTATATTCAGCAGCTAATCATTTGAAAATAGTTGGATTTAGATCTATCATATTTGTAACCAGAAGAATAAATTCATTATTATCAATGAATATTGTACATCATTTTGCCGGTCATAACATCATAACCATTGTAATTCTGCCACCTATTTCAACCCGTATCATTGTCAATACAACACTGCTACCAAATTCTTTTATCTCCCCATCACCCCACTTTTCTCCTTTTATTTTCCTGTTATTGTTATCATTGCAGTGGTGTCTACACTCCACCACTCCCCCCTATCTTAACCACCTCACTACCATTATTAACAATTTATCATCTATCAGTTCCATCATCACCTCATTATTGTTACCTTCACTACACTCATCTTTATTAGAATCACACATTGCTACCACCGAAAAAGTTTCACCATCACTGGCACCATTCTAACCACTACCTTCAGTACTACCAAACACTCACCTATTATTTGTAAACTCTTTAAATTTGATTGTTACCTTTGCCCTAATGATGAACTTATCATTAAGTATTCATGTTTTGCGATGCTTTCGCGGATGTAACTTGTGTCGTTTTACTTTCTTACTTTTTGTTTGAAGTTTTTATCATCCATTGTGGATTATAGTTAGGAAGATGGGAAAATGGTGCATATAATGAAAATTTGGGTCGTTTTACTCGTTGCAGTGTCATGAGATGGGATCGAGAAAAAAAAAAGAAAAAAGGATAAGGATGGTGACAGAAGAAGCTTGAAGGATACTCATTTTATCAGGGATGATAATGTGTAAGGTTTAGTTACCACATTACAATATTTATTCTAAAAATACTTGTACCCGACTTCTTACTTAGGAATTAGGATACCTATATAATTAGATCAAGACTCATTATCCACAATTTACTTAACATGAATATGGTTTCTTGTTTGACAAAATAATAAAATAATTTAAATGGGATATATTCACGGTATATTCTTTTATTATTTATTTTTATGTTCTCATCCAATCATATATTGATATGAATCGTTAATTTTTATAAATATATGAAAATAACTATATTGTGCAACAACGATTTCTCTTTAATAATGGTTTTTGGTATTTTCCTTCAAAGAGAGAATTTTTTAAAATTATTTTAACTGTTTATCCACTTCAATATTTATTTATTATATTTATTTCTAAAATAAAATTTTAAAATTTTAAAATAAACTACCAACAATTAAAAATAATTTTGTGTCATAATATAAATTATTTATTATAAATCTCAAATATAATTTGCATGTTTAAAAAATATTTATTTATATAAATTTTAAATATAATACAATTGATATATTTAAATATAATATTTATTTATATATATAATTATATATAACAAATATTTAACCTCTTTAATACACATATTAAACTACTACTTGTTCTTGATCGATGAATAAATACTTTATTGGATCTGTATGTCATTTTAATATTGTACTACTCTTGGTCTATAATTTTTTTTTTTTATGTTTTACACTTTTTTTTTATTTTATGTTTTACACTTTTTTTATTTTTTTATTTTTATGTTTTACATATTTTAAATAATATTTGTTGACTTTATTTTTACAGATATTTTTATTTAATAATTGTTATTCTTACTTTATAATTGTTCTTATTAAAGATATTAAATAAGGATATATTGAATTTAATATATTAATATTAAATATTTCTTAATAAATGTATAAAAAAATTAAATATAACAGATTATGTTAAGCAAGAATTATCTTTTTTAATTATATAAATATGTTTAGCCCAAAAGTCATCTTGCCTAGTTACATTAGTATTCATTCTATTGGGTGAATGAAGTAGAATTTTGAATATAAAACCAATATTTGTAATGATAATACCGAAACAAAAATTACAATACAAGAAAAATGAAAGCCGAAAGCAACAACGGCTCTGTTAGTCCATGTTAAAAAAATCAATTATTATTATTTTTAAATGAATGTAATAGGTAAAAAATTAAAAGGTTCGTCATAAGAGATATTTATAGCATTTTTACTTTCAAAAAGAACCGTTCAAACGTAAATAGTCTTAATTTAATTATTTTTATTTTATAACTACATTATTGATAAAATATTTACTAATTTTATCGATAATTATGATTAATTATTTTTAGTGCAGTTTCTTTTTCTAACTACAAACAATTTTAAGATCACTTGTATATCTTAACGAGTGTTGAGTTCTCAATTTAAAATGGTTATCCGCCACTTTAAAAATAATTTTGACTATAACCAATTTTACAAAAGTTGTCCAAGCACAAAAAAAAAGTAGATTAAAATATATTTTTGTAGTCTTTATTGTATTGTGAAAATTAATTGTAGTATTTATTTTTCTTAAAAAATCATTTTAGATATTTAACTTTTACATTTGAGTTGATTTATTTATTTGAAACAGTAATTATTTTCGATTTTATAACACAACTTTAAGTATTTTTGACATGTTCAAAGAATGCAACTCTGAATGTTTGTAACTAAAAAAAAACCGTATACATCATGAAAAACATGTTAAAGTTAGTCATACGAATAATTGAAAAATCTAATTTTATATATATATTTTTTCGAACTCTCTCTTTACATGATTTTTACCATAATTCTATTACCTTTTTGATCGGAAATAAAATAAATTTCATAGTTGTATATGCAAATAAATTTGAGAAGACAAATTTCATTTTTTAACTTAATAAAAAACAAGAATAAAATTGTGTCTGAAAATCACGAATACTATTTTAAAAGAAAAACATTAATATAAATTTAAAATTAAAAAACTAAAATAAGTATTTTAAAAATAAAAAATTAAAACAAATTTTTACAGTAATATATATATATGAGGAGATGTTCAATATCAAATTTTAACAATTTAATAATTAAAATAAAAGTTCTTAATATATATATATATTAAATTTATAATTTTTTTTAAAGAATTTGAAAATTTTTGATATTTTATTTT